TATTTCAGTCACTCAGTCAAAGAAAACCAAAACACTCACGGTAATGAGGGTTGCTTTCTTAGCGGGTGAGTGGTTTCAGTGCTGTGCCTAGATTGACTTCCTCCCCCCCCCCCCCTCCAGGTGCATGCAAAATAATATCCTCCAACCTGATTGCTTAACTCGATATTATTTAATCAAGAACTTAGATAAAATGTGCAATGTTTTATTTTGTTACACGTAGTTTTGAACACTCGTAATGCAAATGAAATATTAATTTTTATTTTATAAAAATGAAACAAAGATCCTCAAGGAGCAAATGTTTCTTTCAAGATCGATTTTCTCTTCTCGCTTATTTTTTTTTCGTCAATTATTACAATCGTCACGTATGCTATTTCATATTTTCATTGCACGGAAATATATAATTTATTCTCTTGTATAAAAAAAAATAATAAGAATTATATTTTTTTATACGTATAATAAACTTAGTCGCCCCTAACTTCAGCCGCTCCTGAGGTCGAATGTGCGAGGGGCACCTATTGCCCCCCACCAGGAACAACACGATGCTTCCACGATGCAAATGAGAGGACAGTCTCGGTGAAAAACGCGGTCGAGAATCTCGAAATAAATTGAACCCTCCCACGAGCATTCGAGTGGCTTCAGGATACAGGTTACCCATAAACTTTCGTTAATTGGCCGTTCCAATGTGTGGAACTTCGAAACCGGGAATGATAACGCTTAATCTCGAGCCTCGAAGTGCATAATAAGAAACGGAGGAAGTTAATGCGAAGAAATTATCTTGATGCCGCGTTTAAGTACTTTTTTTTTCCTTTTTCTTTTCTTTCGTATTTTTTATTAAATAAGTAATTAACCGAGATAAAAAGTGGAGAAATCATTGGGATTAAAAACTTATCAAACATTCTTGGCAAGATCTCGACACTGGGTATAAGTATATCTTTTGATTAGTTATTTTTTTTTCATTAAAGTAGTAATGTTTAATTCGTACGAAGTTACAGTAATTTTGATTCTCTGAAATCTACAAATTTATTTTTGTTTTTTGAAATTATTAAAAAGAAAGATTTCATTCAGAGTAGCTTAAATAATGAATTTTTATTGGATAATAAAAAAGTACTTTGTTCTCAGCCATGATAAGTATTCAATCATTAAAGAAAATCAGTTATTGCTAACATAATTGATTATAATTTAATCTGATACGTATTATTCACAAGCTGGTAATCGTACATAGAAAAGAAAATTAATTTTCCATGAGTTGGCAGACTCACGAATCTCTGATGAGATCAGGTAATAAATTATAAGAGAAATTATAAAAAATTATACGCGTCAAGCTGGAAAATTTTCTTACAAAAACGTAATTACCATTATCTTTCCTCTATCTTATTCTTAAAATATAAATCGTGCGTATCGCAACGTGCAATGCATCATGTATAGACATGATGGTATAAAACATGTAATTTCATTATGGTCTATAAATTTTTATCCTTATCTCCATTGTAAAGGTAAAATTTGTAATTAAGTTAAAATAAGGATAATAATAAGATTGGGCGAACGGCAAGTATGTATGCAGTTATTATCATCAATGTTCGATTTCACTTCGAGCTTGATATTTCTATAAGAAAAATAAAACACTGTAATGCGAAGCCGCACAATATGTAGATACAGTATTGTTATGCCTTTCACACGCAATAGTACATATCCTCCTTGTATAAGAGAATATGGCTTCTCGGCACGAAAGGGATTTCCGTTTTCCTGTCATCTCTTGCTCGCGTCACAGTAGTCAAATGTTAAACAATCATTGAAGATATAGACTCGCCACTTTCAAATACAAAATTTATATAATAATTCTTCTCATAAAAATGGAAATTATTTCAAATAATTTGAATTTATGCGGAATCTCAATGTATTCGATTTTTAATGGATCGTAAAATAAAAGTTACACGAGAATCTTTCAACTATTCCAAACTGTTCGAAACACATTTGAACCGCTTCCAAATATGCGTAATTTTAATATATATATATTATCTAGGTTTATAAAGTGAAACAATGAGAAACGCTGTCATAAAAGTTGTCGAGTCTCCTTCAGAACTATTAAGATAATACGTCTCAAAGTAATTTATATCCCCAAAGATGGGATTGTTACGATTCTTCTAGCATTATTAACAAGAGGTCTATCGGAGCATGTCTAATCCCATTAGAGATGAAATCTCATATGCCATTTTGAAAATTAGATCTCGTATTTTCTTTCATTCCATGGTTACACATTGTAACATCGTCGCTAAAAAGAAAGAAGAAAAAAAGTTAGATAAACCAAAAAGTTATATCTGTCAAAACGTCTTCTTAAAACAAAATCAAGTACATAACGATACAACAAACGCAAATATCATTGTCGACATGTCTGCAGCAGATTTTCAGATTGCTCTTTTTATTTTTCTCGCTCGTTGCTCCTCTCAAAGAATCCTTACTCGAAAATTCTCGACATTTTCGGGCTTCTCTCACAGCTCTATTTTTTAGCCATCAATTCTCGCTCCTTTTCCTTTCCTCTCCTTTCCTTCTTTCTTTCTTTTCTTTTTTTTCTTTTTTTCCTCTCGTTTCTAATTGCTTTCGTCCCCGTCCGCATTTCAAGTACAAACGCGTAAGTGCAATACTTTAACGTTTAATTACATTCATCAGAAGAGGCTGGAACCGGTTCTCCTTTAGCCAGAAATCCAAGACTACCCGTTTTACGACGTTTGTTAAGGATCTTTTCACCCGGTATTATAATCCTACCGGTTTCCTGGCTTCCTTAAGCACTCGTACCTTCCCCCTGGATCCATTGACCTATAAGAGAGTTTGCTTCTTATACCCCTATGCACTTCTTCTTTGCTTCGCCTCCCTCTTTTCTTTCTTTTTTTTTTTTCCTTTTTTACGGGGGGATCGCAAGGAGTATAATACGTCGATGCAAATCCTTTTTGTATTTTCGAGACGGGAGAGGAGAAAAGTGTCATCGATACTCGCTCGTGGATCAATTTTTAATTATTTTTCACTCTGTTCAAGCTTCGTTTCTCGTGTCTCTTTTTTCCTTTTTTTTTTTTTTTTTTTTGTTAAAACAGAATAGTAAATCTGTAATAATTACAAGCGAAATTTAGTATTACATATTTACAAGTAATATAAATTATGAGGTGAAAGTTAATCAAGTTGAACGATATATCATAAATTCATCATCCAAATTTAATAGTAATCAGTTCTGTTCCTTTTTTTTTTTTTTTTTACTTTCACCTGTACTTTTACTCCCACGTTGATAACTCATAAATAATTTATCAACGTTTCCCTGTATATTTTCAAAAAATATTCAAGTAATTTACACGCCGCTTAACATTCAATAGCTGAACGAGGAAGAAGGGGGAGAGAAGCGCATCAATGAACCGTCGATATTGTAAACACTCAATTACCGGAACTAATTGTGATCGTTCCGTTTTATCACCCTTTAAAAATTGGCCCCGCGCCAAGTATACGATACTAATTAGCTCGATAAACACTCTCGGATTTGTAATCGTTATTGATAGCGTGCATTTCACGATCGGCAATTAACCTGGATCCTTATGCAAACTGATGCCTCGAACGCATAAAAATGCGAGGGAAATATCGTTAATTGTCCGCGATAACTATCGGATACCATATATAAACGTCTGAATTTAAAACTCGAGAAAAAAATATGCTCGTATCGATCGAACTTTTTTTTTTTTTTAACGAGACAAATAAAAATAATTTTGTGGATAACATTTTTTTTTTCTTTTTTATTTTGTACGAGCATCTTTCAACTGTAATTTGTAATTTAAAATAATTTGTCCGATCTATCTGATATATGATTGCGAATTATCTGTTATTCGATTTAATATTTTTGATTTAGGATTAGAAAAAAGTTGAATATTTTAATTTTAATTTTTGGACAATCAATCGAAAGTATGTGAATGAACGTGCCGTGTTATTTCGAAAGAAAATTGAAATTTGTATTCATAGTGATAAAGTGTAAATTATTCGAAAAAGTTTCGAAATTCGTAAAAAATAACGATCGTGCGTATTTTTAGCATAAATTTGCATACTTACACTTCCGTGAAAAATATCAGAGCCACGGATCGATATTTAAAGCGACAAATAAATTATAAGAATTGTCGCGAACATGTATAATTCTGTCTTGCTGTAGGCGTGTTGAACGTTAAGTGGTTAATATTATCGTGCAACTTAAATCTCGTATAAATTTCGATCCTTGCTATCGATAAAATCCTAATATGATGGTAGAAAGTAATAATTTTTCAATATAAATTGAAAATATTAATATAATATAATAAATTGATAAAATATAATAAGATTAGCATTTTCAAATATAAAAATAAATTTATGAATCAAAAATTATTGCAGATTATTGAAAATGAATTGTTATATAAAAAAAAAATGTAACTGTCATCAATCAATTGAATGGATTGGATATTCTAATCTTAATTCAGTTATATTCATCAAAGCATCGTTCAAGGTAAAGTGTATAGCCAAAGCTATATCTAACTTGACAAAGACTTTGTATCTTGGAATTCATCTATTCAGAAGCACGTTTCATTATGTCAAGGCAACTATGTTGATATATTGATTTATTATAGTGTATTCTTCCTATCAATAGAGCAATATTAGAAGCAATATTGATTATCATAATGCAATCTTATTATTATTATTATAAATAAATTTTTAAATGAGACAAGTAATTAGATGTTTCATCGTCTTTTAGAATAATAATAATATCTTCTAAATAATATCTCTTATCGATTCAGATTCTGTAATAATAAATACATTGCTTTTGATATCTTGATAAAACAATCACTTTAAGTCATATCAAATAACAACACTTGTTACCAGTTGCATCTTTCTCTCTAAAAACAAGTTCAAGAAAGAAAACAGAGAAAGAATGTTGTGAATAGTACTATGTACTCTCAATGATATTTCATCTCTAATATCGCACAAATAAAATGTCACAAACGTACAAAGAGCACGTTCAGTACATTGTCCATGTGGAACTTTAAGTCTCACCAAAGAGCCAGAGAAAACTGCCGGTACAAAACAAGCGGACGTTCCAGTTTTTCGCTTCATTTGTCACTTTTACTGCGTCAGAGAAGAATGGTTACGGCCCGGCTAAATTGACATCAGCGAGGTAACGATTTCTTGATTCCCATGGGTCCGTCATTTTGCTGTTCAAACGTAAACTCTTTATTTTCATAAAGAAGATTAAAGCTTGCTTCTCCTTGCATCGAATTATCGTTTTTTCTATCATATTGGCAATCTCTGCTTCCTTTCTTTCCTTTATCAGAAAAATAATTATGAGTATACTGAGAATAATGATGCTGATGATATGATACAATGAGTATAGCGAAGATGAAATAAATATTGATGATGAATATAACGATGACCAATAAAAATTTAGATATTCATATGATTTTTTGCTAAGGAATCAAAAAAAAAAAAAAAAAAAAAAAAAACAAACAAAATAGAATCTCATGCCAGTTCCCTTCCAGTTCAGTAGTCGTGGATTACTAACGTGGACGACAACGACCTCCACGAAATCAATCTATCGACTAAAAGGATTGGCACGCGATACAAATACGGGTGACAGGCCAGCCTTCTCAATGGCTCGTATTTTGTTCCCAATGGACACGAGTTCCTGAATGGAGGGAAAATGGATGGAACTCGAGGCTAGATTTTCTTTTCCTTCTTCCCTTCCTTTTTTCTTTTTCTTTTTTTTTTTTTCATTTCGTATATACGTATATTTGTACCTTCGTTGCGGAAGTTATGGTGTGGGTCGATGCTGATGGACTTCGCTTGCTTCGCTTTGCTAATACCGTATAGGGATATTGCTACCGAAACTTTCCAAACGGTTTAGCCTTGGACATTCTATTAGGATTTGCGTGATTGTGAGTCGTCTGTGAGTATATCAGAGTGTGTCGAGTCTGCCTTCCTTTTTTTTTTTTTTTTAAAATTAGTATTTTACGTGTTTCTCGCGTGAAGCTTTTTTTTTTTTTACTTTTTCTCATAGTGATGTAGAATGACGTTCAAAAGTTTTTGAAAGTTGCAACAATATTTCTGAAACGGAGAATTTTTTTAATTAATATTTATTCAGTAATAATATTACTTTAGACAAAAAAAATTCATAATTAAAACAATTTTTAATTTTTTAACTTATCTAAAACTTTGACAGAATATATTATTTTATTATTCAACAAGCTTTGGTTAATAATAAATAAATTTAATACGTGATATTTGAAATTTCTTTCAAACTTTTAAATAATAGTGTGGTGTTAGAGGATTTTTAGATTTAGAATCTCTGATTTTTGACGTAACGACGTGTAAAATATTATTCCATTTTTTTTTGTGATAAAAAAATATAACATTGACGTGTCCCTGGAATGAAATTTTTTACTTCTTTGATGGTTAGAAATTGGGTCGTTTAATTTTCGATATAACACTGTCAAAATTGTATCAAATTTTTCTTTTCCACGTAAAACTAGCATTTGACGTGTTTCTCGAATAAAATTTTTTACCTTTTCCAATAGTGAAGGATATTTTTAGCTTGATTTAGCTTATCCAATTTATTTTAAATTCCCAAGTGATTATTTTAGTTTCAGTAAATTCATAATGCAATTTGACACTCTTTGAATACTTATTTTCAAAGATTTTTCTGTGCAATTATCCAATTTTTTTTTCCATTGTGATTTCAAAATTAGAAGCTTTCCGCAATTTATTTTTATTTTCTTCTAAAATTTAAATGTACATAATTGTCGTTAATTAAATGGAAATTTTATTCATTGAATGATAAACATTTTGAAAACCAGTTTACGTAACTGTGAAAAGGCTGTCGAAGAGAATTTAATGCACAAGGGAAGAATATTATGTTTCATCTTGTCGTATAATATCTACCTACTTATATATACACGGTTCTTTCCTTAAATATTTAGAAGTTTTGGTAGAAGATTTTTAATAACGATATCTACGAGAATTTTAACAAAAATAGATAAATAAAATTCGCAAAAAAAGTAAAAAGATAGAGAAATATTGTAATTCGATAAATCTAAAGATAATTCATTTATTAAATTTATTTCTTTTATAACATTACATTTTCTCCTTGTATATGAATTTCTATCAATTTCATATCTCTGGATACTTTATGTTGAATCATTTGTATAAAATTTATCTTTATCCTGTTAAAGATTTTTCCACATTTTCACATTTTTCACATTTTCGCATTATAATTGCGGAAAAGAAGTAGAACGCCACTTCTATAAAGGATGGATAATAGTTTAATCATACTCTATGAATAACCTAAAGAGTTGGATTATTAGGCAATCGATCGTTTCCATAATTTACGAAAACATTAAAATTTACGAATTTTGTCGTGAGACAAAAGTAATAAATTATATTATACTTTGATAAAAATTCTATCAAAATCATTTGTAGTAAAATATTTAATCAATTTAAAAGAGGTTGATATTATATGATCAAAATGTATATATAAGCGGAGTTGTGTATATAAGTGCAGGTGAAAATTTTAAAGAAATAAAAAACACAAATAAGATAGAAATAATAAGTTGATAGTCGAATTCACAAAGCTCTTTATGCGGTTGAAATATGAAACTCACCTCGTGCATATTACGTTAAATCCTGATCAAGTATGGCTTCCAGGTGAAGTTATTCGAGACAAGATTTGGCACGCAAGATTGTGAAATTTGCCAAGTAGCCGGAAATTAGATATTAAATGAACCGTATGCTCCATTCTTGACAGAAGTTGATTGCTGTCCATTATTCTCAAGAATCTTATATTGTAATATAAAGATTGTTAATCTAATTTAAATTTAATTATAACCTTTTAAATAAATGACAGATATGCCAAATAGTGGTGATTCCAGTTGAATAGAAAATGATTTATTGGCTAATGTCATACACGAATAGACAGACCATTCACGTCTCACTTCACTTTTCTCGAAACAACATATAGCATATGACCTTTCAAATTACAAATCACATTTCGATTAAAGATTTTTCAAAGAAGATTTTTCAAGTTACATTAACTACAAGAGTCGACTCGTTTCAGAACCTTGAAAAGAAATGAAAACGAGCCGTTATTTATGATAAAGGTTTCCTGTTCTCGTTGATTCCAAACCACATCTCTCTTCATTCGCATTTTTTTATTTTTATAATTATATGCGCATAATTATGTTAATTTTAAAAAAAATATCTGTATTTAAAATAATTTTAAAAAAATATCTGTACATTTTTAATAACTGCGGAAATAAAAAAAATTTTAAACCAGTCAAATTGACACTTATTTAAACTAATGTTAATTTTATTGTATTAATATTAATAATTGCAAAAATTAAAAATCCGAAGCTAGTTAATTTGATTTGGTTTTTAAATTATTAATATTACGAGTGAGAAATTAATATTCACATACAGTATTCGTTTATGAACCAGATAAATATAAGAAAAAATTTATTTTTCACATAAAATATATTCTTTCTATAATATTTAATTCCCTTTGTTAAAAAAACAATCACGAAACGAAGCGAAAACAAATAAGTATCGATATTTTTAATCAATTTTGTCAACGAAAGCTCTAGATTTTAGATCAGCATATGATGTTATATTTTCGTTTGGGAATAATAGAGGGGGAAAAAAGTTAACAGAAAAGGTATTAACACGATGCGACTACTACGCCGTCTAACGGGATATATATATTAATATAAATTTTTACGCGACAACAAATTCTTACTTTTTCGGCCACGATACTAAATATCTTAACATTTTTCGTCATTACATTATTATATATCATTGAATTTGTTATATACAATATTATAGTCGTATAACATGATGAAAATAGTGATATTTAATATTGCGTGAAAACGTACCTTAACACAAGTGTCTTAATAGGCGGCGTGGTAGTCGCGTCGTGTTAGTTTTTCCGCAGTTAGTTTTTTTCTCTTTCACTATTTTCAAACGGTGTGATGTCACGTATTGAAAATTGAGAATTTCGTCCGGCAAACTTGTTTATAGTTAAAGATTTCCATTTTCACGCGGATTCCAAGCCACGTTCACATTTTTCCACCTTCCGAATTAAATATGCGCATAATTACGACTCGAAGGGAGTTAAGGCTACGAAGTGCGAGTGTCTCGCGACTTGAATGTGATAAAGTTGCCGATTGAATATGAATACGCGAACATAAACAGAAAGCAGGGATTCTTGAACTTTGGCTGCATTTGCAAGTGAAAGGATGAGGCCACTGATCCTGGGAATAATAATTTTCGTCTTTTCTAACCGGTAACGCAACATTTTCTTTCAATTTCTCTTGGGAACTATTAGGTAACAAAGGAAGGTTCGCCATTTTCTTATCCCGGAAAAGGAAAATGCAAGCGAAAAGAAAAGTTGTAAAAAACGAATTGTTACTTTAAAATAAATATTCTTGACTTAACAAGAAAACAAATTATATATAGAATAGAAAGTTCAAAAACCAATCATTCATAATATTTTCTGAAAATTGCTTGCATAATTCAAAAATTTCTATATCGTTTTCATTTTAATTAATATGTCAATTAAATGTATTATTTTTTTTTAATGATTTATTGATTTATCAACTAAAAAGTTGACAACTTATTAATTCTTAATCTACAAATATCAATTTTATAAATGAAATTAATAATGAAGTTCATACAATAAAAACAACTTTTCAACAATAATTTGATTCTTCTACAATATGATTAAGGATGAGTTAATATTAATAAAATTTGTACAATAATAAATATCTTATTTTAATGAAAATTTAATTTTTCAATATTATTTATTTTTGGTTTTAAAAAAATGATTATTTAGATTAACTAGATTTAGATTAAAAAGATTAATAAGAATTATATACATGAAAAGTTTAGAAAGTATTTATATTCTTTGAAAATGATTTATTGATAATTCAGAAATTTTTTTATTCTTTAAACTTTCAAAACTTGACAAATCAATTAAGTCACTATTAAACTATTAAAATAATTTTTCAATTTGTCAATTAAAAGTTTAAATAATAAAGATTCTTAAATCTTTCATATAATAATTTTTCTAAAAAAATGAAAATTGAACAGAAAATTTTCATTTATAAATTTTGTGAAAACTTTCATAAAATGAATTTATTATGATTGAACACAATTCAAATCAAAAAATTATATATTCAATTTTAAGTCTCAATCATTATTTGCAGTTATCTGTAAACCAGGTAAGATATAAATTTTAAAAATAATTATTTATTTTATCATATTATTATTTTTTTCCAATTGTACCAATCATTACACGGACTTTATCAGGTTCACTTTTCTTACTTCTCTAAAAATGTTATCTGGATTCTCAATTACACTAACCATTACTTGGACTTTATCAAATCCACTTTTCTTACTTCTCTAGCACTAACTATTATCTTAACACTTAGTTACATTAATTATTATCTGAACTTTATCAGGTCCACTTTTCTTAGAACTTGGTCTTATCTTTTCCTCTTTTCTGATTAAAATTTAAATTTTCATACTTTATACTAACACTTTCACACAATACACTCTTCATTTAACAAAGCTCTACATTTTATCTGTCATAAAAGAATTGAATAATCCAATATTCATGAAAAATTTATATTTAATAAAATGAAGATATTCTTATGGGCTATTATCGTTGAATCGAATAACAGTTTATTAATAAAAAAAAAGCCAGGTTTTCGGTTATAATAAAAAATATCGAATCTTTATTGGATTCCTATTGAAACGTTATCTGTACGCAACAGGGCAAAAATATCCATTCGACCTTTCGCGTAATCGCGTAGGAAGAGGATCCATCAGTCGTTGAATTTCCGTGGAAATTCTCTTTACAGTGTAGTGAACTGTAAATTGGTAATTGAACTTTGCATGTCGTAAAATTTGAATAATAAAGAATATTCGTCTTTAATTTTTTTCTTTTTTTTTTTTAATTTTTAATTTTTAAAATATTCGTCCGGTATGTGTATATTTTTATAATATTTTCCTAAAACCAAAATATTTTGTTTCATTGGAAATAAAATATTATAAATTGTTGAAAAATATCAGTGAATTTCTTTTATTTCTGGTTAACGTATTTCAATATTCGAATTTGCATCCGTTTTATTCGATTTATACAAATGGAATTGCTATTACTTTTAATAATCAAACATGCAAATGAACAACGTTATCATATAATTGATTTAAAATGATGATAATAATAATAAGTCAAGATTGAAAAATATTTCCACGTCATATCGCGTCAATTTTATAAAATAATTCGTGAATATTACTATTATAGGGACATTCCTTTTTATTTTTCAATTTTAATAAAAAATTATAATTAATTGTAATTCGATGATGATTCAAGCGTTATCAATGGACATTTATTGTCCTTCAATACGAAGAAAAAAATGAAGAATATACAATTTATCAAAATATCAATTTTGTCGAAAATTGATTCGCAAAATTTCAAAATTTTGGTAATTCGTCAATTCTGCTATCTGTTAGAGTGACTTTAATTCGGTGAAGAGAAACATGGCTCGCGAAAGGAAACATTTATATTGCGTAAAAATTCTTGTCACCCAGAGGTATGTTCATTTCATACAGAATAGAATTTCGTTAGATTTTTCCAACTTAATTTGTCAGACTGGGTTACATGGTCAATGGCACTGTAATTGGTTGTCTTCCGGATGAACAGATGGCTAGTAACACGCGGTGAATTTCGAGTGGCCAAAATTGAATCGTGCGTGGTATGGAATAGTAATTATCAGCCCGGTTAAACCTCGTTTTCGAGCCTCGTTTATCATAATAACCTGGCGCCACTATCGGTCGACCGATTCGTCGTTATTCGAGCAGAAATCGATTTCTCCAATATACCTCTTCGATCGAATATTTTTTTTTTTTTTCGTCATAATCATTTAATGTTTCTCATATTGCATGCATGAAATAGATCTG